TACTAGGAACACATTTCTGAATAGTTTTTAAACTGGAGAAGAGAATGCGAAATCTACATTATTAAGGTTAACACTTTAAGGGAGAAGTCATACAGAGAAGAGATGAGAGCAGAAGTGATGTGTAATTATGAGTCGATGTTACAAGAACATCGAGATTCCAGTTTTCGTTTCCTTCCTTCATATAGCTCAGTTTTGCTCAGGCCAAGGATACATGGTTCATATTTTTATGATGCGAGAGTTATAACTATAAGATATAAGAGGATGTTTGCTGACACTTCAATTTTTGAAAGTTCATCTATATCTCATTTATTTTTAATGAATTATAACGTGTTGTGCTGAATCGATTTATAGCTCGATTCAAACTAAGATCTGCTAAAACAATTTGAAATTTCGTTTTCGATTTTCAATAATGTTATTTGAAAACTGGTAAGTAATTATTATGTTCATAAAATAAATATTATTGTGATAATGATAACCTTTCGTTCAACCGAAAGCTTTAAAAAATAATCTGCCACCGTCTTCCAGTAACGTCATCAAGTTCGGAATAATATTTGATTGAATTTGGTCGTTTATCAGTATTAAGATTTAATTGCTGAATACCCACCGACTTTTTAAAGGATCCTATACTCATTAGTACGAACTTCTCACACAATGTATCGATGAAATATCTGTCAAATTATGTTTCGAATACAAAAGCATGATGTTTCATGATGTTATAAAACATTATTCTGTTGTCAGCGTCGAATCTACTTTTGGACGCTCCTACATGATCAAATAAAGTTCTAGAACTAGTTCACTAATACTTTAATGGAATAGGTGATAAACATAATTATCAAACTGTCACTTTTCTGAAACTAACTTTGGTTGAGTATTTGTAGCATCCTGTATTCTGTCTTGACATTTTTAATAACAATTATTGAGAGAATATTGATTGCTCATACATATTCAAAACACTCACGATATTCTGATGATTCACCGTCATTTTCTCCAAACAAATCGAACTTTCGGATTATAGAATTGGTAGTCACTAACTTTTCAAAATATTCCTAGTTACTACTGTTACATTAGCCCACAAGAGAAATCTGAGGACGTGCCGCATACTCTGACATTTGGGTGATAAAATTTTACCTTAGTCATTAAGGATCAGTATTATTTTTCAAACCAACAAAATATCCGGTAAACCTATCACTAACAGGAATTCCTCTAGAAAAAGAGTTGCGTGATCATCAGACATGCATTATGGATATAAACAGTTATCTTCATATTTATAATTCATGTTGCTTCAAAATTATAATTTATCAAGTCATAGGAACACTCTTAATATTTTTCAAGGAAATAATGACTACTACCAATGATAAATAAGAACGATACACGTATCACATGCAATATTTATTGTAACAAGACATACTTCGATATAGCCCTTGACTATATGAGCAGATATTTGTTTAACAATGGTAGTCATGATTGAAATTGAACATCATTAAAAGATATTTCAGTCTAGTCCGCACGTCCAACAAAGTTACTTGATAGAAAAAGCAACTTCTTGTTGTTTTTCGACAAAAAATTGTTATTCCAGAATTGATTAATGTTTCTTTCTTATGAAAATTGCCTTTATCTTCTTTCAAAAGACTTTTCCAATACTATAAGAAAGAGTAAAAATGAATCTCATTTTAAATACTACAAACTGAGTTTTGGAAATCAACCAGAGTAAATAGTGCTAGTAAGTTTTGCCCAGTTGATTGTTGATCATTAAATTTCCATATGTCCATAGTCAATATCTTTAAAGCGAACGCACTTTACCGAGATGTGTCTTGTAGCTTTCATATCTCGGTCATTTTACGTGCTAATATTGTACTTTTTCTACCATGGAAAAAAAAGCACTAAACTTTGCATCTAGTGATATAAAGAAACAAATTTTAATTGTTAAAATAGTTGAGTAGTGAGTGGTAGAAAATCAAAAATAAACAACATTCATTTTATGTACGTTTTCTTAAAGCAAATGTATCAGCTTAGAACAAGTTTAAAAAAAGGAATGAGTGTAAAATTCACTCATGTTTGCCACCAAATTTCATCGAAATATTTTTGCAATTGGTATCATTTGGTTCTTCATATTCAACTCTATCATATCTTAGTGGCTTAGTTCAATTGATGCTAATTTGAATTTTCAATTAAATTTTAAAGAAATATACTTAATTTTCATCTTTTTCAATCCAGTCTCTTAGTATTTGATAGCTGCGACAATTCTGAAGATATTTGTCAGAAGTTCTGTGAATTTCGGTCTTAAAAAGTAATATATGAATGATATATTCAAGAACACTTAATCTACAGCTAAAATTTTTGTTGAGTTTGCTTTATTGCCATCACACATAAATCGAATGCACAGTATATTTCTTTAAAATTTAATTAATAATTCAAATTAGCATTAATTGAGTTGATATGGTCCGAATATGGTAGAACTGAATACGAAATATCAAATAATACCCTTTGTCAAATAATCCACTGAAATCTTCAAGCAAACATGGATCAATTTTGCACTCATTTCCCTTCTTTGCTTGTGCTGCGCTGATGTGTTGGTTTTAGGGCAATGTATATACAGCGAACGTTTTAGTTTTTTGATTTTTTACCATTCATTACTCACCTATTTTAACAACTACAAATTATTACTCTATATCGTAGAATACAAGTTTTGTGCTGTTTTTCGCAATGTAAAAGTAACAGTTCTAGAATTTAAGAGTCACAATATGCACCTATGTGAAGCGCGTTCGGTTTAATGACACTAACTCTAGGTACTAATAGCAAGTTACTTAATAAATACGTATAAATATATGCTCGGTGTAATTTTATTGCTTTTGGACAACTTTCATCCATTCAGAAAACTACCCACACAAATCTTTCTTATTAGTAACTCATACTTTTAAAGCGATCTTTTCTTCTTTTTATCTTCGTGAAGAAATTTCGAGAATTTCTATATTGACATCACGAAGGACATGTTTAATGATTTCTTTACTTTAGAAAAAAACAAGGAAGTTCATCGACGAACATTGATGACAGATCATTTTTGTATCTTCTCGTCGTAAAGTACAGCTTAGAATTCATCATCAACATATTAGAAAGATGTCAAGGTTTTCTACATGAATCACATCCTATTCTGTCATCTATTGAAGGACATCAAAATGAACGATTGATGTCATTGAAAGAATAGAATTTCTTTTTCATATTTGTCATAGTATCAATTTTCGATCGAAAGTATTTAGAGCTAAGCAACCTGTTGATGACATAATAAAACAACGTATCTCCGTCGATTATGTTATATAAATTTGAATGGAATACAAATCAATCGAATTATTATTTTTTTCTTATTGAAACTTTATGTAATGAGAATTGACAAAAAGCAAAAAACTATATGGCTTTCATATCTGAAATTGTTTATTTCTGCACTTTCTGAACTTCTATTTACCAATGACATCGTTTATTAAGGTGAGAAAGCTGATTTGTATACAAGCAATTTACAAGTTCTTACAGTAGATTAGTTTCATGATACACGTGTGTAATATCACCATGTATACAATAAAATGTCATGATAATCTATTAATTAAAAATCATTCACTATTACAAAAATGAAACTGAGATTATTAGTACAAAACAGATATTTTTGACAGCATGGTCAGTATTTTACTTTAGTGATTTGAATATGATACAACTTCATGCAATAAAATCACCATGTAAATTATTAAAATAAAGTGTTTATTCAACAATTCAAAAAGAAGAAAACTATCACACTCAACTTGAAGTTCGTGTTAAAGGATGTTGAATGCACAAAACACAGTTAAATTTCAATTTTTTTCGGTTCTGAAAAAAGTAAGCAAATACTTCACGTTTTTCGCGCAAGGTTTGATAAGCATGAATGAAAAGTTATACTATGTCAAGACAGATCTTATATTCGAAATTTTAAACTCTCGAGTATGTTGATATCAGTATTGAATGAAAGTCAATATTTTTCGAAGTTTAAACGAGACTGAAAACAAATTGACGTCAGGCATTTGATAATGAACCATAGATGTATTAATACGTAAAATCAAAATTTATTTTTATTTTTATTCTGTTTCAAAAAAAAATTAGATACACGTCATTTGGCTCTCAAATATGACGTATGAGATATCCTATGTCGATACCTTATGATTCATTTTTTTGTTGGACGGCCTCACGTAGTAGTATTTGTTTTTGTAAAGTATATGAAAAGAAAAAAAAATAACGACAAAAGCATTTAGCCGGATGACGTCCTGAAGAATAAGCGGAATAATGTTAGAAATTGACGAGTGTCGATACAAAGTCTGTCATGCTAGATGTTGTTGACTTAGAACAGAACAGAAAAGAAAAAAAGAAAAACGGCTACAGAAGAGAAGAAAAAAAGCACTCGCGTAGGAAGAAACAGCGAATTCATTTTATCATTCATTCCGTCATTGCCTTAAGAGAAACGTGTATAAATAACACAGTCTCCATCGCTATCATACATTATTCTTAAGCTTTTCTATTACCCACAACAACAAAAAAAACATGAGTAAGTTTTATTGCAGTTTATTTTTATTTTTTTATCGAATGACCATTGAGCCAAGAAGAAATTCTATGGAAGTATTTATTATGTCAGTCTTTACTTTAGTACGTTACCAAGCGCGATAAATCATTGAAAAAACACTCCTAATATAAAAGAAAAATCTGTCGTGTTTTTAAGATGAAGGGTTTTGTAAATGACAATCATTGATAAAAAGCAACCTAACATTGAGACATGATTTTGTCGTGGAGAATCGATTAAAATAAAAAAAAACATCCAGATCATAAGCAAAAATATTCTTTTATAATTAAGAAAAGGTTTTTGACTTTTAACGATGGAAAAATGACAAATAGTTTTGTTTTTAAATATGATGATTTATTGAAGGTTATTACTCTTCAGAATGAAGTGAATTTATAAGAAAAATAATCTATAGAAATTTTGTTTTGAATAGATTTTATAACAAAACAAATCGAAAAAAAAACAGGTATGGATTTAAATGGTGATGGTGTGATCGGTTCAGGTATGACTTTATTTAAACTTAAGTGATAAAAAAAATTTTTAACTTTTAATAATAGGTTATGGACGTGGTGGTTATGGTGGTGGCTATGGACAAGGACACGGTGCTGGAGGAGGCTTGATTAATCAATTAGAAAAAGCTACACATATGGATCTTAACGGTGATGGACGTGTTGGTGGTGGTTATGGTCATGCCCCACCTTACAATCAATATGGACCTCCTGGTTATCCTCCACAATATAATCAATATGGTGGTGCACCACCCTGTCCTTCAAATTATGGTCCATATGGTGGCCCTCCAAACTATAACCAGTATGGTGGTGCTCCTTATCCTCCACAAGTTAATCAATATGGCGGACCTGGATATGGAGCTGCTCCATACCACGGTGGTAGCAGTGGTGGTGGTGGTTTGATTAATCAATTGGAAAAAGCTACAGGTATGGATCTCAACGGTGATGGTCGTGTCGGTGGTTCTGGTTATCGTCAACCTCACAATCCATATGGTCATCCTTATTAAAACGATACCAGCAATATTATAAACATGAGTTTTTCTCGTTGTAAATTCTACTCTATCTATAAGAATATTAATTAAAGTTTTGAAATGGTTATTGTATATTTTGAGTTCTATGTAATAAAGCACAACTTAGATCTATGAGAAAATAAAAAGTTTTTGTGATTCTATTTGACTTATAATTTAGTAAAAATATAGATAGAGAGACATACTATTATGACGTCTATGCCGAAATTCTGTCGGTCGTTCATCAATCAGATCTATACTATATTCTTTATGTGTCTTCATATCAACCCCCAATATGTCAAAAGCAGCATAAATACTATACGAACTAACAAGAAAAGTATAACAATAATCTAGTATCATGAATTTTCGAAATATCGAGAACAAATACACATCCAAACTCAAAAGTCGTTCCAACAGTTTAAGTGAATTGTCACGTACCTGAAGTGTTGAAAATAGATTATTTACCATAAACAATGACTTCTACTGATAGAAGTAACACACATTAGGTTTCAATAATCGAGCATTGTGAATCATTAAGCAGCAGAGGACGCGATTTTTCTATGGTCATTTTCAGATATGCTTTGATGCTTCATGAATTACATTAGACGTGAATGATCAAAATGAAATAATCATTGCTTACAATACTTTCTCATCCTAATGTGCCTATGATTGATTCAGCTAAAATTTGAGAGATGTTTAGAACAGAATAGAATGTTGTACACGCATGTTAGTTAGTAAAAATTAGAGTAAAATCTGAACTTCAAATCTTGTACGAGACATATTTTCTCCGAATGAATCTCAAGAGGAAGAAAAGTTCAAAAACAAACACCTCCAACAAGATTCTTGCAACTTCACTATCGAGCAATACAATTTCATATTTTCTGTTAATTTTTTTAAATCAGAAGGAACATGAATTAGATTCCTCATGTCACTCTATAAAAGTATAGGACTTCAAAAGCATACCATTTATATAAGATTTGCTGTAACTATATAAGATACTGGTAATCTCGAAGAAACATCTTTAGAGTTCTAACGAGTTCTAAAAACAATAGTTCAGATTGTAGGCTGTTGTTATTTCGTGCATGGTATTCGATCAACTTAAATAAAAAAAATATTTTCACGTTATGAACAACGATGATACATCAAGTTTTCTTCTAAAGAAATGAAAAGACTACGTTTGATTTATTTTTCATCTGTTTCAGACATGTATGTTCAGATTATTAGAAATAAACTCAAACTTAATAAAGGTTTTTCAAAAAAAAAATCGTGTTTTGTTTTTGTTTTTATAGTGCAAACTATTTTTTCTTCTTATTATTGTTGTATTTACCACACGTCAAAGTATATTAACAAAATATTTACAATCTCAGTGGGAGTAAAATTTGAAACACGATGAAATGCTGTCATTGTAAAACAAAAAAGAATCCATCAGCATAGATGTCGGTTTATGAACCGCTACCTATTGTTGATGTCTATCAATAAAAAATTATGTTAATCACAATATATTTCAATCAGTATAGGAGAATGACAGAGAAAATGTATCTTGAAGTCAGCTGTGTTTCATACTAATTCTGCATCAAATTAGTATCGTGGGTATTCTCGTCATAACCCACGAGACGGGAATGGGTATGCTATAAGATATGTATCACAATGTATGACGCAGAAGAAATATTATCAAGGCGTTCTCAAATCCCACGAAAGAAGTGAGGAAGATGGCAGAGTATATAGTCGAATGACTCATTAGTATGACATATAATCAATTTCAATAATACTTCACGTGATAGGGCATGAAAGGTGCTATAAAGTGAATATTCTGTTGCAGTTTAGCTTCTGCTGTGCATCTACTGGCAGAAGCTTTTAAAAATGAAAATAAAATCAATTAAATCACAACTTATTATTTCGACGAAAATAAAAAAAACGAAATAGTACGTCTATGTATGGATATGTGAATCTTTTTAAAAGAATCATCACTTTTTTTTGTCGAGCAATATTGGAATATGGGGGAAATTCTTGAAAAATAGGACATTATAAGATTGATTTAGTAAAACATAAGAATCATACAAAATATAAGACGACGACAAAGTCAAGAAATGAAAAAATCAAGTGTAATGCTGTTTTTCTTTGGCCTAAAAGGTACTCTTTTCAATAGTATGTTGGAAGTTAAATTGATTCTTGTTTTTATAACAAAATATTGCTTTTTCTTGACAAGAAAATTAAGTGAATTGGTCTTTCTTTACTGCCTGGCTAGTTTGAAATACTAAAAGAAAATATCGTTTCAGTTATTTTCTCTGCTAAACTACTATGACCAGAAATATTTTGAACAAATGATGTCTAAGGCAATCAGTTCATGCATAATTTATGACAATTATGATTAATGTTCTTGCAAAATGATATTTCTTTAAAAAGATTGTATTTTTCAAAAATTTTATTTTTTCAAACCCATTCCTTTTTGATATTGACAATTACGAACGTGCTTAGACACTGAGTTAGCACCAACAGATAATTTATAAATTAGTAATTTTTCACATTGATTGCATAGGACATATCTATGCTGTATTTTCTTTGCATAAATACAACGCAGATTATTCTATAAAGCTGAATATTTTAGTGTCACTGTTGGTCCAACGAGTTTTGCTTATCAATTGACTGCTCGATTTTCTTTTCTTTTATTAATATTATGTTCTTTTCAACTAAGCGAAAAGATTTTTTTTCGTAGACTAGCAGCTCCTCAATGTTAAATGTCTTTGTTGACAAGTATGATGATTGATATTCATATAGGTGAATTTTGAATGATCAACCGTAATTTCTTTTTGATCAATTTTATTGAAAGTCAAGAAACAGAAAATAGTTTCATTACGACCGGGTACACAAATGTTTCTGATTAAAAAGAATATACACAAAAAGAAATTCACCATCATACACAATAATTAATCACTGTGTCATTAACAATAATAATCAAGCTAAAAATAACTTTATTATCTTTGTTGCACAAGTGCATTTTCTAAACAAATAAGTACCATAAAAAGTGGTAATAAACTCGTACAATATTCAAATTCTTTATGACTATTAAAATCCACAATATGTTCAGTTCGTATAAGTGCTAAAATTGTATTTAAAACATTTTTACCACCAACTTTATCTTCAAGATAAAGACGTAATTTAAATATAATTTCTTCTGGTGTTGCATTTACTTTTTGTGCTTCATGTACACAATGAAGACCATCAAGATAATCATCTGTTGTCAACATAGGCATTGGTGGTGTTGATGATGATGAACAACAAGTTGCAGTATGAACACTTTCAGATGAAAATGATGGATCATTCATATTAATTATTCAATCAAAAATAATGTCAAAAAAACTCAATGACTACTTCTTTTGGATTTAAAAAATAAGTTAACGTCTTATGATAAAAATAATCGATCGATGATAGCGACATAGAAAGTTTCACCAATGAAAGTTTATAAAATACAGATGACAGTATAATACAAGAGAATTTTCTTGCTTTTATTAATAATTGAAATATTCGAAGAAAAATAAATATGAATACTAAGAAATATTTTAAACTTGTGTGTAGAAGAATGATATTCTAATCTCTTTGAACCGTAAAAATTTCGATTAAAAATTGAAATTGAATCGAACGCAATTTTACCTATTTGTTTTCATTGATGTCCGAAATATGATGTAAGTGTGTGAGGGATGATAGTACTCGCTCTATTGTATAAGCTAAAAAAGATCATATTATGTAATAGAAAAGTCTATTTATCTTATGGTAATAAAGTAACTCTTTCGTACAAATTTTTTCAAGCATAATTATCCATTTTATCTAATTACTTTTAATCAATGCATCAGCAAAAGACTGTAACTCATGAGTATTTCAGACAAACTCTTTATGATTTATTGCTTTTGATACTATTACGTTTATACTGACTTTTATTATTGAATCAGTAGAAGCACATTACCTAGTAAATATTTGATGATAGCTAACGTCGTCTATATACAAGCACAACATGTTTCATTTGAAATATCACAGATGAACTTCTTCCATATGAATGTAATTGTGATGGATGTTATCTATCTACTTATTTCACTGTTGAATATCAAATTGAAAACGGTACAAAAATATTCACTACGATTCATATTAATCAGATATCGTGAGGATTATAAATTCGGATATTTTTTTTTATTTACAATCGAGAGATATGTAAGAGCTTGGTTTTTTTATTTTCAGTATTATCATTTCATATTGGATCTAATTAAAAAAACTTCTGTGTCTAATAGGCTACACTGAAGATTTATTTTATTTCTTTTTGTTCATAATATAAGTTTCTATGACCTTTTCTAATTAAGGTTAGCGATAATTACATGTACGTCATTTATCTGAACTAGATGATCAGTGTTCAATGGTGAATGTCTACTGAAATATTTGCTTCAGCTATGCTTATTGTTGGTTTTGATGAGGCTCATAAAACGAAAAATTTGATCGCACAAAGCTTCACGTTGATTCTTGAATTACTTCCGAACTTTTAGAGTACTTTGTTTTATTTCCGATATGCTCGGACATGTTTTGTAGGTTAGTTTTTTCAAGGATGTTTCTTAGATAACACTTATTCGGTTTGTTCAAAATGGAAAATATGTATAATTTGCTCTTGTAGAATGACAGAATGAAACGTTCATCCTTTTAGAAAAATGAATAATATTTTAATGACATTATAATGACATTTTAATGTGTCATTCGAAGGCTTCAACATAGTTGACCTTATTTCTTATATTATGGGAATAAAATACAGATTTTTCTGATATCTGTCATGTAGATAAATGACTGTTGACCTAAGACATGTTTTACCATGTACAATATCGATAGGGAATCTTTGTTTTTTTTTTAAATATCCATGTATTCAGTAACCACATTAATTCTATATACTAATGACTAGGCTATAAAAAGAATTTTGTTTAAAATTTTTATAAACTTTGATGATATTCACTAGTCTAGCAAAATAAAAG